ATTCATGACCGGTGATCAGATGCTGGACCACCGGTCATGAATAGTTCGGCTCGTAACCCATCGGCACCTGTTGCTCTGCTTTCGTCAAGCAGGTGGGTAAGTTGAGCGGAGTAGGCTTCCGCTATCTGTTGTGTTCGAAGATTTTCGACGTCGAGTTTTCGTGTTCCATTAGTTCCCACCTTTGCTATATTAAGACGAGTGCGAACTTTGGATGCTACAAGTTAGTGGTCCGAAACACTGGATGAATACCTTCCGTCTATCACAACATGATCGATTTGAGTTCTCGTTGTTTGATCGGGATAAATCCAGAAGGCCTTGTGTATATCGAGATGATTGAATCTGTTGCTGCTAACTACCATGATTCAATGAACCTCATGCCGTTGTCGTATGTTTCTTCATGAAGCCTGAATTCTACCACGGTGGGGCCAAAAATATTTTCCCTACGGATTTTTGCATTAAAATCTCCTAGCTGAATTTTTATGTAATGGCCAGGGCAGTGCTAATATACTGTTTCTAGGCACTCGTAAAATATGTCTTTAGTCTGCTCATCTTTGTCCCTCGGAGCATGGGCACAAATAAGACTGATGTAGAAGAACTTCGCTTTTATACGGATTATAGCAAATCGCTTATCTACTGGAGTGAATCTGGAGACGAGGTCTTTTATTATCCTAATAACCATAAATCCACAGACAAATTAATGCCTTGTTTCATAACAGCTATAATACATTTCCGAGTGATGCGACCCTAAGATCTAGACATATACCCAATTAAATGGACTATTACCACACATAACAGAATTAGTAGCAATGTATGTAGCCAAAACGATAAAGAATTTTATTCTAATCTACAATATATATTTATGGGGTTTCTGATGAATATTTCGAATCAGAAATTTATTATACACTTAACATTGTTGTGAATGAGGCGATACAAACAAACATGTTAATTGTAGATGCGTCGCACAATTTGAAGTATTCCCCTTATTACTTGTTTCTTTCATTCAAAATAACAACAAAGTTATCTAAACCGCAAGGCATTGCGATTTCTTGTCCCCCTATTTTGAGTGTATCTTATAGCAATATTTTAACAAGCAGCAACAATTTTCCTTAGTCACCAGCTTCATCAACAATGGAAATCAATGGTGAATGCACTTCGCTAATGAAACATCGCTACTTTCTATGAATAACTAACTGAAGTGGGGAGCGTATGAACCACAACTTTAAAATAAATGAGCATCAATCATACGCCCTAAGTGCCTCTGCAATTGCTCTAAACTTTGCAACATGTTCACCACCCGCCACAACATTGATGGGAAGTAGAAACGCCACAGAAAATCGATTTCTCGCATTGTCTTAAATTATGTGAAGAGCAAAAGTTTAAAATTTGCGAAATGTTTTAAATGAATTGCACTTTTCAAACTACGAAGCACTTCTGCATCATGCAATCTTACTTCCTTACATCGAACTTCTACTACGCCATGCCGCTGGCATAATGGCAAAACTGTTGGTGTAATTGGCAATGAGGCACGAGTTGTACGTGGTAGACACACACACACACATGCAATTACACGTTTCTTCCTTAACAATGTGTTCCTTAACATGTAAGTCTAATATTGTTGGAATTTATATCTTTAACATTGTGAAATTGCCTTGAACGTTCCAGCAAAATATCTGCTGTGCATGGTCGCGTGCGCTATAACCTTCCATAATTTATTAGAAATTGAAGTCACTTAAATTGATTTTTTTTGGAGGTATATTTTTGTGGAACATTTTGTCCTTCTAACTCGATTTATTGTTTGTCCTTTCCATTCTTGTTTTATTCAAACATAATCTAATTTCCACAAATATTTTTAAAAAATCCAAGCTTATGTTGGATGGTCAAAAAACAAAAATTTTTAAAAAAATCCAAGCCTATGTTGGATGGTCGAAAATATATTTTTAAAAAATCCAAGCCTATGTCGGATGGTCCAAAAATATTTTTAAATAATCCACGCCTACCCCCGCCTAGAAATCCACGCCACGAGAAAGCCGCAATAAATAGCGAGGGACCCTGCATGTAAAGTGAGGGAGCCGAGAAGAAAATTACCGTCTCCTATGAAATCCGTTTATTCCTAGGCAATTGACTGAGGCCGTTCAAATAAACCTTCGATACAGAGGAGGACTTGGAAATAACAATTTTTTGATCCCATTATTTTCTGAGTAATGGGATCCCATTAGGTTCTGAGTAAATTTATGCATGTTCGTTTGTCCTTCCGGTTCAGAGTTAGATATAGCTCCTAATATAGATTTTCGGCCAATTTGATGCAAGTGGTGTACCAATACACCCATGTTTGTCGGATTTACACTTACTATTGTAGAGAGGAACGTAGTTGGTGTATGTAAAGCTTAGTAGAAATCGATTGAGATTTAGATATAGCCCCCTTATATATTTACAACCGATTTTCTAAATCTTTACCGAATAGGTTCTAATATATATTTTCGATCGCTTGAGACGAGATTTGGAGTGTGGACCTATGAAATAGACTACAAACCAAGTTAGAAAAGGGCTAGTGTCCGTTCCCTTAATGCCCTTGCTAAAACTTATTATACATATATTCATTGCAGACAAATCTATGTTTTTCGTCAAAGAATATTTATGGTTTTCACTTTATGAAAATTCCATATTAATAATCTTATTTCTACATATATTCATAATAATACTGTTTATTTTGAAATCCCTTGCAGAAATTGTATGCAACCAGAACAAGTCACAATAATTTCTTGGAAAAGCTTTGCGACAACAACTTTATAAAATATGAACAAATTCTAAGAAAAATGTACTGAATGAAGAAATGTTGGAGGCAAGGAAAACCACTGAATATTCTTAAATGAATTACAAATAATTTAGAAAAATTACTACAGGTAAATTTAATTAAAATTTCTTACTCCTTCACCACATGGGTATATTGTACATATGTATCCTTACAATTGCATGTCAATGTTCCCTAGAAGGAATCTACTCATGTTTTTCTGCAACCTATAATAAATTTAATTTCATTCGGGCAGATTTAAAGTCGTCTGCGTATCATTGGACAAATTTATGGAAAACAATTTATAGCAAAATTGATACACGCTATTCTGTACCCCGCACTGTTAAAAATTTAATCTCAAACAGACACCCGTTCGAAATACATATGGATGCTATGGCTGCATCTGCACAAATTTAAATAAAACTCAATAACGTTCATCAAGTCTCAATTTGATACGTTGTGCAAAATTTCGTTTATATGGGAGCTATATCTAAATCTGAACTACTTTTCACGAAACTTGACACTCATCGTTCTAGGCCTAATTCTGTACGCTGTGCAAAATTTCGTGCAAATCGAAAGATACATAGGGACTTTGGTGCACCATTTGTCTCAAATCGGACGAAAATATATATGGGAGCTATATCTTAATCTTAACCGATTTTCACGAAACTTAGCACACATCATTCTAGACTGAATTCACTACGCTATGCCAAATTTCGTGCAAATCGTAGAATATATAGGGTCTTTGGTGCACCATTTACCTTAAATCGGACAAAAATATATATGGGAGCTATATCTAAATCTGAACCGCTTTTCACGAAACTGACCACATCATTCTAGGCCTAATTATGTACGCTGTGCAAAATTTCGTGCAAATCGAAAGATATTTAGGGACTTTGGTGCACCATTTACCTTAAATCGGACGAAGATATATGCGGGGGCTATATCGAAATCTCAACCGATTTTCAAGAAATTTAGCACACATCATTTTAGGCTTAATTGCTAAATTGCTGTGCTAAATTTTGTGCAAATCGAAAGCTATTTAGGGACTTTTGTGCACCATTTACCATAAATCGGACGAAAATATATATGGGTGCTATATCTAAATCTGAACCTTGGGCCAAATAAATGGGCTGTGACAATTTTCCTCCAATTCGAATAATAAATACGACCTGTACTTTGTTTACATTTTAACATGGACAGACAGACGAACGGACGGACATGGATAAATAGACTTAGAAAGAGATTCCATCTCGTTTCCTCTTGCCTGTTACAAACATATACACATAGACATAGTACCCTGTACCACAGTGTGGTGAAGGGTATAAAAACTGTAAGGAAACTTCAAAACTCGGACTGGGTCCACTTTATGTTACTCTTCACCACTTTGTGTACATACAAGAGATAATAGTGTGTACAATATCCTGTTGAAAGAACAGACATAGCATTTTTGGATGACCATTGACATGGAATCGGGTAAAAAACAGATCATTCTGAAACCTAAAAAAACATTCTGAAATCTAAAAAAATGAAGGTCAATTGGCCAGACTTGAATCCTTGGTGCAACATTTGAAATCCGGCAAAATTTTTATATGGATCATATACGTAAATCTGAACAGATTTCAAAAAAACTTCACACACATAAAACTGGACTTAATTCAGTCAATCCGTCAAATATTGGTAGTTACCAAACTTACCTATATCTAAATCCTGACCGATTTTAACAAAAACTTCACTGATGTCAAACTGGACTGAATTAGTACGCTGTGCAAAATTTTGTCTCAATCGGACCAATATTGGAAGTTTGGTGCACCATTTACGTAAAATCGGACGATACTATATATGGGAGCTAGATATAAGTCTGAATCGCTTTTCTCCAATTTCAACATGGTTCGTCCTTGGGCTAAGTAAGTGACATGTGCCAAATTTCGTCACAAAAATACATGGACGGACGGACATGAATAAATCGACTCAGAAAGTGTTTCTATGTATATTCCCAAAAGGAACCATGGGTTGACCTCGTTTCCTTTTGCCTGTTATGGTTTCTTAAAATCGGGCATTAAAAATTACTGTATGGTTTTTCAAAGCAACATCCAACCTAAACAGTTTCGAAAAGTGATTATAAATACACCCTCAAAAGCAACTAAGGTTACCTCGATTCGCCTTACAATAATTACACAAATATATTTAAATAATTTCAAAATACTTTATTTTATAGTTTGCTGCTAATATTTGGTTTATTAACACTAAAATTGTCATTGCCATCGATTGACCAACTGTCCAATATAACTGGTCGATGCTGTAGAATGAATGGATCTAGATGCGCCGCCACCTCTTCGGGACTATTCAGGTGCAAATGGTGAGTTGTATTTTTCACACGTACGTAGTGAAAATGTGGATTATTCGCCCGGAGGATATCTACGATTTCTTCATCCTTTGCAGTCATCAAGCTTTGTTCATGCGATCGAACTAACATATAGGGAATGTTGCGTATACGTTTTGCCAATTCGACGCTCAGTTTTTGTTCCCCCGATAGCCGAACATGATGTTTAATGCGTGGATCTCGAGAAAAATAAAATTTCTCAGGATGTTGTTCCGCCTTGGCTATGCTTCGGTTTAGCAAATGTTTGCAATATTGTTTTTCAACGGATCTATGGGATCCCCTATAGAGTGCCTCCTCCAATTGTTCGTATGAATAGCAGGGTGGTGTCTTAATGTGCAACTGTTCAAGGCGTTCGTTTTCAATTAGAAGTTTTTCAGTTCGCTCGCTGATTTGTTTTATTTGGCGGCTTTCGGAGTCATAAACATCTTTGATCAAATCGATTTGTATTAGCATATCGACCATGTACGGATTTAGGGCGGCATAATGAAAACAAATAATTGCACCCATTGAATGTCCCATCAGTGATACCTTTCGCCATTTGTATTCCTTCACGATTCGAACAATTGTGAAAATATATTCAAACACGTGATATGTTATGCCGAGAGGTAGTTTCGAGGACCTGCCATGGCCGGGTAAATCAATGCATAATATACCAACATGTTTGGGTAGCAGCGGTATTAAACGATCCCACGTGCCAAGGTTATCCATCCAACCGTGTATAGCAAGTATCGGACGGACTTTGCGGTTGCCATACCATCGTCCTACAATCTGGCCCCATGGTACATCGATTTTAATATCTTCGAACTGGAAATGTAGAAACAAAAATATGGAAATAAATTACGTTTGATTTAAGATTAAATTTGAGTTATATTTGGTTTATATACAATTCTGAGTGATCTTAAACAATCCACATTTTTTTTTCATTTACAAACTACACTCATTACAGATCGAAGGCTACAATATAGAAAATGTTGGCTTAATAAAGAAAAAACGGATCATCATAATAATCAAAATCGATGACGGTATTAAAATGTCCCAAGAACTTCTCCTTTTTATTTCAAATCCTCCTTCCAAAATTGAAACATCAATTCGGTAAAAAATGTTACCGCAACTTCTAATGACGAAAATCGTTAACCACGGACAGCATGGCAAATGAAACATCATTTCCGGTGAAAAATGTTGATTCGATACTTTTAGGATTTCTCAGCCACTTATTCTGATTTGTATATCCTTCACCATACTGTGGTATTATGTCTTTGTGCATATGTTTGTAACAGACAAAAAGAATCGAAATAGACCTATGGTTCCTTTTGAGAATATGCATAGAATCACTTTCTGAGTTGATTGCAGTTGTGTGGAATAGATGCCGGAGATGATGTTATATTAAGGTCTGTCAAGTCCAGAACACAAAGGATTTACAATTCGCTTGATATAAGCTAAATATTTTTTTTATCAAAGTATTGACCATTATAGAAAAAGTTGCATCATCTTCGGATTTAAAGTGTTTCCTAAAACACCCACCATAGAGCTGTGAGGTACCACTATAGGGGATATCGGGATTACTTTGAAAATTGGACCTATATCGACCAGTTTCGATCGATGATTTGTTACCCAATGGGAACACAAAGTATTATAGTACAGCCAGTTCGATTAAATAACGTGCCCAAACTCCACAAAATGCCGAATAATGAGGGGCGGGGTACCGCGTTATATGGGAGCTATCTTAAAATGAGGATTCAAAATAGTTAATAATAGCCAATTCGGTTGCAAAGCTTGCCCAAACTGCCCAAAATAACGAATGAAGAATGTACCGTTATATGATGATAGCCCCTCAAAAGTGGACGACATTGATCATTTTTAGTAGGGAGATTAAAAAATGTGCCCCGGGGTACCATATCGTAAAACGTAGAACCATATCGATCATTTTTTGTAGGGAGATTTGCTACACAATAAAACTCCCTAGTTCCTACTAACAGACAATTCGGTTCTGAAACCGAAAAAAACAAAAACAATCGAAATTATCTCGAATCTACATAGACAGGTGTGTCCGTCCGCCTGTCCATTATAATTTGTAACCACTATAGGCAACAATTATGACCCGAACACCACGAAATTTTACAAAGAGAGAAGGCCATAGAATAAGCATGACAGTTTTGATGAAGATCGGTCAATATTCTGCTAGTCAAATGTACCCGTAGGGCGTACATATTTAATCCTGATGGACATAGACCTGAGAAGTAGTATATCCCATATGCCAGGATTAGAAAGGGGAACTGTTGACCTATTCTCAGGTATCTATATAGATCCGCAGAAACATAGACTTCAATGGTAGTTGTGTGGGTTATCATATGGTCGGCCCCGTCCGACTCACCGTTCTCTGTTATTTTAATGTCTTTTCTTAAAAATGTAATATAATAAATAAGTAACCAACCCTGCCGCATTTATTTTGCGACCTCATTCATAAACGGTTTTATAGAGGTTAAAGAGAAATTTGTCAAAATGAATACACTTTTGCACGACACTGTAGTTGTTTGCATAAATATGGCCCAGTAAACATGTTGGTAGTATATTATGTTAGTCTACACAATTTAAATACAGCACATTGCTTCTCAAATTACACATTTTACGAAGATATGTCATTTATTTGGTCGGTTTTATTAAAAAACATTTCGTATGAGAATTCCTTTAATAATTCCTATAACAAAATTACTATGTCTTTACATTATTTATACTTTAAATCTTCATGTAGGTGTAGAGCCCCAGTTGTTCAAAAAATATCAATTATCTTGTATTACATAGTTATATAGCTAGTTACTTAGTGATCTAGTTACTTTTTATCCACAAATGGAACACAAAATAGACAGTTGGAATTATTTATCGATTGAAAAAGTTGTCTAGGTATATCATTCCAATTCAGTAGTTACTGGTAATGCAAAGTGTAATGAATGAATCGACTTTTTTATAGATATAAATTCTCGATGGCAAAACAAAACATAACAGTTGTCTTGTCATTTTGTTTCGACTTTTTAGTATTTTTAAAGGCAAAACAGATATTTGTTTTTCGCAAAAATATTCGTGGTGTACCATATTAAGTGATGTGGAACTTGAATTTCTATATTCGAAAGAAATACATAGGATAAATCTGAGGTAAATTTTGATTTTGTAACATAACTCAGACAAATGTAATTCTTCTACGTGATTCATTCCAGGTTTTCTAAAGATTTCGCCCTTTCAGATTGAGAGAACACACAAAGGGTTAGGGACGGATCCTTCAAATAAAATTTTACATGCATTCTGTAGACATTTATCGCCCATAAAGGTCCGAAATACATCAATAAATGCTCAAGAGATATTCTACCAATTTTCTATAGGTGAGTTTTCGGTGACAAAAAGACCTTCATATATAAATCTTTAGTCATTTTTAAATCCCTATCTTCTCTTCAGATACATATATATCTACTACGGTGACAAAAGCACGCGAACGCGGGAATTACATATGGATCAAACAGTATACAATAATCTATTATAAAAAAAAAATTAATGAATAAATTTACGTGTACAGAATTAATTTTATAAAATATTTCAAATTTTCCAAACTGTTATATAATCTAATTTGTTATATATACGTAACTAGGCATTTGGTTTATACTTTTTTTGTACTACACTACCATTTTGTACTACCTAAATGACTGTATACTGGTAACGCAGACAGGGGACAATTGACTTCCCCAATGACATACCCATGTTAAATTCACCAGTCTAGGGCATGAAGTGGTAACTAGTGGTAGTTACAGGTAATTAGTAAAACAACCTGTTCATAACCAGTTACTCGAACTACTGGGGCAGGGCTGTCCACACTAGTACATTCAAGTTTTTTGATTGTATATGTTTCAAATACAAAATTTTCAAAAGTTCTGTTTCTATGTCATATACTGGGAGAAATTTTGTTAAAATATTATTTTCAAATTTTAAGGAAGAAAAAAATTTAATATTTAATGCAAATATGGTTGTTGATGATACATTTTCCCATATAAAGATATATTTGTTTCTGCTTTGCCCTTCCGGCTCATATATTTCGACCAGTTCCGAACTAATGTTTGCCAGAAATATCCCAATTTTTTCGGTTAGTGTATAAAAACAAAAAGGAATGAATGACAATTTTGAAAATAATTTTTACCCAGTAGTTCGAGTAACTGGTTATGAACTGGTTATTTTACTAATTACCTGTAGCTACCACTAGTTACCTCTTCATGCCCTAGACTGGTGAATTTAACATGGGTATGTCATTGGGGAAATCAATTGTCCCCTGCCTGCGTTACCAGTATACAGTCATTTCGGTAGTAAAAAATTATTGTATATTTGACTAGTGTTTTATAGTCAGTTACTTGGGTAGATACAAACTATAAATCAAATGCCTAGTCACTTATGTATAGAAAATTAGATGTATAACAGTTTGAAAAATTACAATTTATTCTGTACGAAAATATTTGTTATAACAGAGTATTGTATACATATATATTGTTTGATCCATCTGAAAGTCCCTAGTTCACGATTCTTTTGTCGGCCGAGTGCTTTTCAAATATGTCTCCCTGGTTAAATAGATTTATCTGAAATAGACGATTTAGAAACAGTTGAAGTTAGAAGTCCTACATAAAGCTTTTTTTGTGATAGAAAACTTATCTATAGAAAATCGGCAGTATACCCCTTGAGCTTTTAGTGATGCGTTGAGGACCTCTATGGAGCGACACCTCGCTATTAAATGTTTACAGGAGTCACGTCAATGCTCCTTTAGGAATATACATAAGTATTTAATTTGAAGAATCTGTCCCTAACCCTTTGTGTGTTCTCTCAATCTGTGAGGGCTTCAGGGACGAGGATATCTATAGACAATCTGAAAAACGAAGCCTGTAGAAGGATTACGTTGGTCTATATTGTGTTACAAAAAACTTACCTCCGTTTTATCATCTGTATTTCATTCGAATATTGAAATTAATATATATTTTGCAGAAAACACATTTCTATTCGATTTTTGCTTTTAAAATTCTGAAAATTTCTAAAAATCTAAACAAAATGACAAAACAATTGTTCTGTTTTGTTTTGTCTTCATAGTCGATTCATTACCCTTTGCATTACCAGTAACTACTGAATTGGAATGATATACCTAGACAACTTTTTCAATCGACAAATAAATCCAAAAGTCAATTTTGTGTCCCTTTTTGGGGTGTAAAGTAACTAGATCACCAAGGAACTAGTTGTATAACTATATATCTGCAGAAAATTGATATTTTTTGAACACTACTGCCGTAAAGTGAACGAAGAAAAAACAAGATATACACCAGACATGGGATTTTATGGATGGTAGAGTATGTGTGATTTATAAATATATCGTTTTGGTATTTAATAAGCTAATATTGGAAAATTTCCTTTCAAAAAATTTGCGGCATAGGGTCAGATTTAGATATGGACACGATATATCCGTAACATCTAATTTTCTATATTTTGAAAATTTGTGGATATGCTTTCTAATGAATTAGCAATATTTGGTATTATAAGTTCTTATTTGATCCTCTTAACTTATTAATATTTTCCATTTTTAGGGATTATACGCACTTTTTTAACCAAAATCACTGCACTTTTAGTGCAAAAAATAAAAAAACAAAACATCACCAAGCACTTTTAGCATTTTTATTCCTGATTTAATCCATTGATATTTCCGCATGTTTCTTCACACATATTTCAAATCTTCTAGATCATTATACCCTTCACCACAGTGTGGTACAGGGTATTATGTCTTTGTGCATATGTTTGTAACAGGCAAAAGGAAACGAGATAGACCCATAGTTCCTTTTGAGAATATGCATAGAATCACTTTCTGATTATGCATGTCCGTCCGTCCGTCTGTTGGTGTTAAATTGTAAACAAAGTGCAAGTCGCGTTTATAATCCGATTTGGATGAAATTTGGCACAGCTCATTTGTTTGGCCCAAGAACGAACCCTATTGAAATTGGGAAAAATCGGTTCAGATTTAAATATAGCTCCCATATATATTTTCGTCCGACTTAAGGTAAATGGTGCACCAAAGTCCCTATATATCTTTCAATTTGCACCAAATTTGGCATAACGTAATGAATTGAGCCTAGAATGATGTCTGCCATGTTTCGCCATGAAAATCGGTCCAGATTTAGATATAGGTCCCATATATATTTTCGTCCGATTTAATGTAAATTTAGTCCAGAATGATGTGTGCCAAATTTCGTGAAAATCGGTTGAGTTTTAGTTATAGCTCCCTTATATACTATCGATTGATTTTAAGTAATTAACGCACCAAGGAACCAATATATGGTGGATTGGAATAAAACGTACTGAAATTAGTATAACCTAACCTGTGACAAGATTCCTTGAAATCGCTTCATATTAGGATATAGCTTCCATATGTATTCTCGCTCGATTTTAAGTAAATTGGGCATCAAACTCCTCATGTTAGTCCGATTGACATCAAATTTTGCACAACGTACAAAATTGAGCATAGAATTACGTGGTTGCGTTTTTTAGAAGTAAAGGCATAGCCTAACGGATGACCTATTATATTTGTTTGAAGTCAATTTACATTCTTTTGTCCCATTGTAACAAACGAATGACACGTTTATGGATTGATCTAAGTCGATTCATATTTAGATAAATATCACATAAATATCACATATATCAAATTTTATATTAATAGTTCTATTTAATATACCCATAGTGGTGAAGGGTATCATATAGTCGGCACCGTTCGACTTTACTACTTTCCATACTGGTTAATTGTGGCTTAATACCAAAAAATATAAAAATGGATAGAAACAAATGGATACAGTACTCCGATAAAACGGCTAATTAACAGTGATTGTGAAAAATGATGAAAATGATTTCGGAAAAATATACCATGAATACATCCGCGCTTTCTCGAGTTATAAGTCGGTTTTACGCAAATAAATCGGTTCATCACGGACGAAGGCTGCAAAATAACATCAGTTCGTACTGGTCAACAAATTGTCATAGGCCTAAAAACTAACCATTTATAACTTCCACGGAATTGGTGTTATCGTTGGATATAACCTGAAGCGTGGACGAGCTATGGTAGCAGGTCAACATGCCAGAAAACTATTAAGAAAAAAATTTATTTCTGTAATAATCGGAATGATTGGCTTTCGTTTCATATAAATTAGAATCCGAGTCAGTGGATATATATTATGTTCTCGGATGAATTAAAGTTAAATATTACAATCTCAGAAACGAAAAAATGGCATTCAGAAGATCAAATAATTAAGGTTTCAAGCCTCAGATTTTTAAGGGTACTTGGTTGCAAGGAGGGGATGCTTCCATTGCTATGGAGTCTGATCTTTTTACCAGAATTATGAAGTAATTATACAAATGTGTTGAGAACGCTACAGTTTCTTTGGGTAAGGAAAATGTACCGCTTGTTTCTGTGTTTCAGCTAATATACACCGAAACATGTCAAAGACTGTTCGCGAGAGTAAAAAATCAGGGTTTTATAATAGGCAGCTCAGTCATCAGATCTCACCCTATAGAAACTTCTATGAATGATACTCCAAATAACATAATCCAATGTGATTCACAAACAAACATAACCTCTTCCCAAAGGTTCAGGATGCGAGGAATAGTAAATGCAAGGATCAAATTGAACGTGTTATTAATTCAAAATCTCAAAAATAATAGTTTTGCTTTCGATTACTAGCAGAATTTGCTTATTTATAAGATAAAATAAAAAGGTTGATTTAATTTTGACCAAGCAAAAATCGGGTCAATTTATCGAGTTACTTCCAAATAAATTTTACTTTGTTTTTTTATGAATCAATTACCTATTTATTTCTGAAAAAAAAAAAGTAAAATGAAATAATAAAATGAATCAATTACCTATTTATTTAAAAAAAAAATCACTATGATTTTTTTAATTACATGTCATTTATTCAACTTGAAATTTTGGTTGCTTTAGTTTTGTCCACCAGTGTATATATGTACTTCAACTTAGCTAGAAGATATATGAAGATCGTTACCTTAAAGGCGGGTCTACAACCCATATCATCATATCTCTCTCCCACACGAATGCTCCAAATCAAAAAATATTTTTTTCTGTACAAATACCAATTAGTGAGTACGGAGAAAACTGGGGCTCATAAATACAAATTGTTCTGTTTTGAGAACAGAGGGGTTTATAATCGATCTATATATAAACCACATGTTTTTATAACTTTTAATTACATTTTACTTTCGATTTATTATTTTTAAAAATAAATTTTATTTTGGATTTTTTATGGGATTTCAATTTCATTATTCACAATTAGGTATAACAATAAATAACAATTAATTTTGATGAAATGCATATGTCATTATTATCCATAAACAAATTTATTTATATATTTTTCTTTAGAATTTTATTCGGCACATTTCTAAAAGTTTTAGCACTTTTTAGCATTTTTTTTTTAACAATATGTAGTATTTTTTCTCAATAATGTTTTGGCAACACAGCTCATGGGGTATGCCATTTTCTACCAAGTATTATCAATATTGTCCAAGTTTCGGGGTTCGGATACCATATAATGGTATCCCATTTTTTATTTATTTCAGGAAATAATCTTCTACAGCTATAACAATACCAAACGATTACTAAAAATAAACATGAGCTTAAAAATTTTAATTCGTTAAAATATTTCTCAATTTCTATAAATTCTAAATTTCCATCTCTGAGTAGTTTTCTTTCGATTCGATTTGTACTCTCATATAAATAAATGTCGCTCTTTAATCAGTGTTGGGCACAATTAAATTGAGAGCAAGTGTGTGCGAGCGTAACTGAGAATTCACCATTAAAAACGACTAACGTAAAGAGAAAGAAATAGAAAATGTGTTTACCCATCGACCCTCAGTTACGGTAGCGTATATGGGTAAGCATGCCTGTCTTTAATTTAAAAACCTAATTACTTATTATGATATTATAATACTAATGCACAAAATAGTACGATAGCGGTGATGGCTAAACACGTATTCTCTTTGCTTCTCCCTTCGCCAGTCATTTTTAATGGGATCTCTCACTTACGCTCTCACACACATACTCTCAATTTAATTCTGTTCAACTCTTATAATACCCTGTAGGGAAATGAACCAATTTTTTCAACTAATTTTAAAATAGTCACTACTAGTCCATTTATCGATTATTTTTCTTTGAACCAACTGACTATTTTTACATGGCGATGATCGCGGTAGTAGTCAGTACCTTTTCAACTAGTTATTTTTGACAGATTTATAGTTAGATTAAAAAAATGCAGAGAGTAATCGATCTAAAAGAGATTAATTTGTATGTAGAATTTTCGAAATGACTATTAGTTGGTATATGTTAATATAACTATTTACTAACTTAACTTGGCTAATTTGTAATTATACCAATACAATATACAATATACAATTTCAGTTTAGAATTCAATATATTTTATTATAAATAGTTCGAAAATTATATACATAGGTGGAAATACATAAAATATGTCCAATAAATAATTTATCACAGAAAATTAATTATTGCAAATATTTCCAGCAGCGTCTTTTGTAATTTGCCTTTAAGTAACCTCGTCATTGAATTTACCTGTGAAAAAATTAAAAAAATAATAAAAATAACAACGTTTAAAAAGGGGAAATAAATACTTACGTATATCAGTCGATTGTCTTCATCTATAACGTTATTGAGGGCAAATAAATCCTCAACCGTTTTGACGGGGAAATATTTCCTTACATTTTTGTTCTCCATATATGATTGGTTCGTTCTGATGTTGGATTGCACTCTTCAACGCATTTATGCTGTCTGAAATGGTGAAGAGTTTAAAAATACGTATTTAGTTCTATTATTTTCTATACTTACTATTTAATTCAGTAAATTTGGAGTCCACCGTCGCCTAGAGGTTTCTGCAAGAAGGGCAGTTCGGCAAAGCCATATTTTCCTGTGAAGTAGGCTGATGAACATCTGAAATATAGTGAAATTAAAATTCGAATTAGAATAGTTGTTTTTAATTTATATAATAAATTACTTACTTAAATTCATGCTGAGGCGTTTCACTGATTTTGGCGGGGACTCCATGTTTTTTATTGGATGACTTATGTTAAAAATTTTACAAATATTCTGTATATGCGCTACAAATTAAAAAAATATGTATTACTGTTGATGTTGGTATGATGTGGTTCTATATTTACATATTCTTCTCTTTGCTTTTTACATGTGACTTGCTAGGTAACATTTCAATTATATTATTAAAACACGTACCAATTTATTTTTAATTTCATACTTAAAGAACACAATTACAATTAATTACGATTTACACGTCTTCACTCTCGAAACTTTCAAACAGAATGATTTTTCTTCATCTTTGCATTCGGTGTTGTTGTGTGAAATGCAATTCTAACGGTTTTTTTGTTTTGCGTGTGTTATTTTTTTGATGACATGAAAATATTTTTGTTTTCAATGTGGTTGAGTCTTAGATGACTTTCTAGCTAATTTATAATCAGTTGATTAATAATTTCTTTATAACTAAACATTTTGTAAACTAGTTGATGAAAGTCCTACAGGGTAATTATAACCGCACTCTCCCTTTATGACCCATACCATTGAAAACGTGACTCATGTGTTCACGACTCTCTTCTTCATAACGCGATAAGAGAACCGCTCTTAATTATATACAGCAGTGTTGGGCACAATTAAATTGAGAGCAATGCCTCAATCCATAAAATATTTTGTACTGTTGGACTCTGACACTTGAAATGTTTTTGTTAGTTTTGTTGTTGTTTTTGTTGTGGTGGTCTAGTAGCTAGACTAGACTAGCTATGAGCGTATTAGAAAAAATATTGTACACAATAGATATTTCAGCGTCTATAGCACTCACCAAATTGCCATTATTCGGCATCTTTACAGATATAACGAAAAAAAAAATTATATTGATATATGGGTGCAGTTTTAGGAAAGATGTAAACTATATATTTATTTTGATTTTAGAGTGTAACTTATAAAAATGATTTACACATTTTTAAATAATTCATTTTTGAAAGATAAATATTTTGTATTACTGACCAGTAGTGTCAAAACCATATAATGTTTATAAACATATATGACTACAGAAATATTAAAACATTCGTGAGACCGAAATGTAATACCCTCCACCAGCAAGCGGACTTTCAATATATATATATATATATTTTAAATTAATTTAAAACAAGTAAAAACGTCCTTAAGGTCGTCAGAGTGGAACTTTTTATACCCTCTACCTCGTGATGATATCTATGATATCGCATTATGTGGTAGTAAGTAAGTGCTCTAAAAAGAATTATGTTTCAAATTTGGATAGGAACTTCCACATTCCATTAATTTGACTTGAACATTAAACAAGTGAAAACGCGTTGTGTTCGGCCGGGCCGAACATTGGACACCCTCCATCATAGACATACTGACAGGTAATTGAAATAAAAATATAGGGAACATACTAAAAAGTGTACCTATACCGACATTTTTACAAACCGTTTATGATTCTAAATATTGGTCCTAGACACCGTGGACCAAATTTGTTTCAACAAATTTTGATTTTATCCAAATCTTGCCCATCTTATTATTTCTTCCAAAATTAGTTCAATTTCGAACATGGGGAATATCGGTCCACTCCTTCTGGTACCTCCCACATAAGGTTATAAGGTTAATTATCGAACCTTATGTTCTATTTTCTATTGTCTTAGAACCAAACCCAAACACGGAACAAATCATATAACTATTTTAATATAAAACAAGTTAAAAAGCGTTAAGTTCGGCCGGGCCGAACTTTGAATACCCTCCACCATAGATATACTGACAGGTACTTGAAATGAAAATATGGAAAAAACCAAAAGTGGACCATAAAATAAATTTCACCTTGACATGGTGAAAATGTGTTTCATCGAAATGTTGGTTCTAGACCCCTTGTTGCTTTGGATCAAATCCTTTTCTGAACTGTTTAATATCATCCAAACTTTGCCCATCTTACAATTTCTTCCAAACTTAGTTCAAGTTCGAAGATGGGGAATATCGGCCCACTCCTTCTGGTACCCCCCACACGGGGGCCAGGCCTAAATGCCGGTTATAGTTCATATATAGTTCATTATCGAAGTTCTAATTTTTTATCTCGATATCCTCCGCAGGTGAAATGATTACAACAGAGTCTTAGAACCAACCCCAAATCGCGGAACAAATCAAATAATTATTTAAAAAAAGGGGGTTATATGGGGACTACCCCAAAATGGAGGCGAATATTAATAATTTTAAGTAAGGAGATTTGTTACCATATACGACTACAAAATACCAAATTGCAGCGAAATCGGTTGGAAAACGCGCTCAAGAACCCCAAAATACCGAAAATTTGGGGTATCCTTATATGATCGCCATCCGAAAAAATGAACCTATATTTATAAATTTTTGTGGAGAGATAGATAGATAGAATAGGTACCAATTAAGAACTCAAAATACTAAATTACAGCCAATTCGGGGGAAAATACAATCAAAACCCCCATAATACAGAAAATTAGTAGGTACCGTTATATGGGGGCTACCAGAAAATGTGGACCTATATTTATAATTTTTTGTGGAGACATTTAGTACCCAATGAGAACTCAATGTACCAAAGCTCATCACGAGATGTGACGGATTCAAAGTGAACTCATTTTATTTCAAATATCCTCTTAATTCTACACCTAAATAGTAATACATAAAACTACAATGCATTTCAAATACATACATTGAATGAGTAAATAGATTTGGGTTTGGACACACTTATGGTCTTTATTTACGATCTCCCAAAAATACACACAGACAAGAAATGCTGTAAAATGCATTCTTACGCTGTGACCCATTAACGCACCCTGTGCAGCAATCTTTACCTCAACTTTACCAACGCACTATTGACGTTCCACTTGAGACCTGCACACACACAATGCGTGAGAGTCATAAATAAACTGTTTTGTGATCTATAATACAAATAGAATCTTAGAAAGCAACTATTTCCATTTGACCTGACTCCAAAATTGCGTACAGTTCACTAAACTGTACAGTACTGTTATATGGGAGCTATGCCTAAACGTAGACCGATATATCTTCATCTTCGAACTTGACCTGCCTACAGACAAAAGACAAACCTATGCAAAATTTCAGCATCCTATCTCAATTCGTTCAGAATACAGCGTGATTACAACAGACGGACGGACATGCCTAGATCGTCTTATAATTTTACCCTGATCAAGAATATATATACTTTATAAGGTCGGAAATGAATATTTCGATGAGTTACAAATGGAATGACAAAATTAATATACCCTCCATACTATGGTGGAGGGTATAAAAAACTGAACAATTTCGCAAAAGAAATTTTTTATTGACAAGAAATCCGATATGCCAAGTTATAGCCACTGCGATGAGAAAGTTGGGTTAAATCCTTAATAAAACCGAAAATGGACGGGACGTTTTTGTGGAGGCTATATCAAAAGTTGGATGTATATATTGAATTGGATTATATGAAACCTATATGAAACTGTAAAGTGATATTGATAATCTTTGTTAGGGAAATTTAAATTTATCTCTATATGAGGGCTACCCGGAAAAATTGCGCCAATTCTGCTGAAATATGTTCAATGGGAGCTATTCTAAAAAGCAATCCCATATACCATACCAAATATCAGGGGAGTAGTAGTAATGTATGAACATACATATTGCGAGCTTTATCATGATTTCCAAAGACATGAGGACATGACTAAATATGTTGTCAATAATTCGAGATGTTGCAAACGGAATGACAAATTTTATTATATTTAGCCTGAAAGAAAAAGCTTCATAACATTTATGAAAACTTACGTTAAATCAATGAAATTTTGTCATGAATTTTGAAACAACGTGGAGCTTCATTGAATTAATGAAAAAAGTAGATGCATCATATAGACGGATGAACTAAAATATGTGATCAACCATACTAAATTTTTTATTTAGACCAATATAGAGTCGATTGTTTACTTTATGTTGAGTGTTTTTTTCGACCTTTTTTGTTCATATTACAGTAATGAGATTCTTTGAGCTTGAGGTCTTTTGTTAAATTAGTTTATTTATTCAAATATTTCCCGATATTTCGCAATTATCAAATTGCATCTTCAGGGGTGATCTATTTAAGAAAACATACATTTAATATTATTATCACAGCATATTAGTGTAGACACAAAATTATTATTGCATATTTTCAAAAAAGAGATTTCTTACATATACATAATAATAGTCAGGTTTTTCTTAACAGCTAATGTAGTTGTACTACAATTGTCTATAGTTGATATTGCACTGATTATTCCCATGTATTGCACGATCTCTTCCTTGTCAAATGTCGATAACAATATGCTGCATTATCGGTATCGCTTTTATAATTTATTTTTAAGTTTGTTGGTATGTTATTAATATGTAACATCTCCAGTGTTAACCTTCTGTTGTAATTGTTTTCTGACTGTAATACGCGTATGTTGTCAAAGTTTGGTATGTGATTATTAAGTTTACAGTGTTCTGCCAGAGCGGTTTTTTGATTGTTGTTATGGTTCCTTAATTTTATGTCTGATTTGTGTCCGGATAATCTTGTTTTAAGTTTGTTTTTCGTGGTACCCACATACATTTTTCCACATTTTTCATCTTTCGATCCATCACATTCAATACGGTATATAACGTTATGTCTATCAGTAATAGGAATTTTACTTTTAGTATTAGGTTGTCTTTGATGCAGAACTTTAGAATACTAAAAAATAAGCTCTTTGTCATATTAGTGTATTCTTTAATTTCGTCCCAATAGAGCGAATTATGTAAATATATGGGGCCTTAACTGCAAATCGAAAGATATATAGGGACTTTGGTACAGCATTACAGTAATCGGATCATAAATGCCACCTGTACGTTGTTTACAATTTAACATCTACAGACGGACGGACATGCATAAATCGGGTGTAGGCATAAAAATATGAAATTCAAATTTACATTTTATTTTTATAAAAATGAAATTTTTTAAATAGTTATTATGTTCTTGTTCAATTGAAAATTACTTTAAAACTAATCTTCTATTAATTTGAAACTTTTAATTTAATTAATTTAAATTTGATTAATTTTGAATTTATAAGTTAGATACATACATAACTAAAACTCATAAATAAATATTTCATTTACAGCTCTTAATTTCAAATTAATATTTATATAATATTCTCTAATTGATATTAACAAATATGAACTTCCAATTGAATAATACAATTTTAAATTAAATATTATTTTATATGTAATATTTTTAATTAAATATTAAATCAATGGAATACTATTTATTTAAATAATTATTAAATTAAATCAAAACGTTTAATTCCAAATAAATTTAAAATTAACGTTCATATGTGTCAATATGTATTTCAAATTCAGATATGTAATTGTATTTGGTAATTAAAGGTTTTGACTGAAATAAAGTTTTAAAAAGATAAAATTTTAATTTAAACTCTTTATAAGATAACATAAGTTAAGAAGGAACAATTTTAACTTGTTCAGTATTGCATCTACTAATACGAACAAATAACCTTATAAGTATAAATATAAGAATTTGTTCTTTCGTTTGTATGTATTGTAAGCGGTCAACCACCATGTAATTAAAAACACTAAGGTTGCAAAACCCGGAACAATTTAGCGGGACATCTGTTTGTATTTACAAACATTGGTATATATTGAAAATTTTCTAAGTCAAGGCATTTTCTTTACCAATATCATGGAATGTCAAATAACAGCCTTTTCGGTGGGGCGGGATCTTTTTTTGATGCCTGTATTGACATGGTATGACAGAATAAGGCCTTTCGGTTGGAAAATACACCTTAAGTCTTTCAAACAAACCGGGAGACTGACATAGAATTTTATTCTAATCAAGTTTATATATACTTTATGGGATTTCCGACGGACGAATATTTGCAAACGGAATGACAAATTTAATATACATTCAACCACCTTATGATGGAGGGTATAATAATAAAAAAACCTCCGCCTTTCGATATGTTTATGGCTTTGTTAGAATTTTCGAACCGAAATACTGGTAATTTCTCAGATATTAATCTCACTCTATATGAAACTTGTTTCATCTTGATGGAGATAATAATTCGGAATAATGTTTCATATCTTAAATATATTTTAAATATATATACATATATTTCTTTATTATTTACAAATGTTCCATTTTTTATTTTTATTCCCTAAAGATATAGCATATACTCATTTATAACTTCCCAAACACATGCATGCACTCTTCCATATATTGTCAGGATTACGACGGTCGCCATCCGTTACAGATACAGGCAACAGTCATAATTTACTTTTTCTCTTTTTGGACTTGACATCCTTTTGTTGTTGCACCTCATCGATGTCTTCTTGATCTTCTCTCAGTGACCAGGTTTCTACCATCGGTGGTCGGTGGCGATTAATAAATGGCGTCAATACCGCAGCTACGGCCTGAGGATTATTTAAGTGCACGTGATGTGTACCCTCGATCTCGTGCAATTCAAAGTGAGGATTATTACTTTTCAGTATCTCAATGACCTCATTACTCTGCTCATCAATGAAGTTCGATTGAGATCCTTTGATTACACAATAAGGTACATTGTGTATACGACGGGCTAGTTCTGCGGCAAACGGTGGCGAAGTTGTGAACTCGAAATAATACTTAACTCGGCCATCTCGCGAAAAATAATACTTGTCGGGGTATTTGGTGGATTTGGTTATGTTACGTTCTAAAATGTGAGAACAATTTTCCAGGGTCACCGAACGATTTGTGCCTTCGTACATTATCTGTAGGAGTTGTTCACGTGTATACGAAGGTGGTTCCATTTGATTGGCCAACTGCAAGCGATCATCTTCGATGAGATATTTTTCAATATTGTTCCGTATAAAATCGATTTGTGTACTGGGTCTTCTGTAGCGTGTTCGCACAATATCAATGCTAATCAACATATCCAAACGGTCCGAGTAGAGTGAGGCGAATATAAATGAGATCATAGAACTCATCGAATGGGCCATTATGGAGACCTTCTGCCATTCGTATTCCTCCATGATGCGCAATATGACACACACGTAGTCAACAGCATGGTAGACAATACCACGTGGAAGTTTCGGTGACAAACCATGTCCGGGTAAGTCGATGCAAAGAATGCCAATATGATCCGGTAGCAGTGGTATTAGTGTATTCCATGTGCCCATATTATCCAGCCAACCATGTAGGGCTAATATGGGTCGTACTTTACGATTGCCATACCAGCGACCCACAACATAACCCCAGGGCATGGGAATGCGTAAATCAATAAACTGAAAAGAGAAAGAAAAATTCGTTATTATGATCAAAAATTTATAAGTTGAAAATACGAATAGAATAGTTACAAATATTAAAGGGAATAAAATAGCATCCCAGGTGTAACTAAAATATTTGGACCACTGTCGAAAACATCCTTATGTTTAGCCTGTCCCAAGAAAAGAAGGAAAATTACATAACATTGATGATCCAAATACAAGGTTCTCTCTCTACCTTCTAAGAGACAATCTTATTGTCTATAGACTAATTCATCCATAATTCCATATGGGAGAAAAGTTTAATTTTCCTAAGACGAATGAGGATGATCCTATGGCCAGCAGAGTAATCATGGGATGGTAAAAATGCTCAACTACAGTATATTCAAGTCAGTCAAAAAACAATAAGGAAATTAGTAAAGCCGGATTGGGCCGACTATATGATACCCTTCACCACTTTGGGTATATTCTACATATCGACGCCTCCGAACCATAGTATGCTAAGTCGACTTAGCATGTTTTAAAGTTCTTTACGTTTTTAGATACTACGGTCCTTAATTTAAATTCACTGAAATTTTGGTAATCATCGGCCAATCCAAACCAAAGTTATAAGCAAAAATTTACTTAGCATGGCACGTACGATAAAAGAAACTTCCATACTTTGAAAGCTTCTACTGAAAAACTCACTTTTCAGACTTAGCATACTATGGTTCGGAGGCGTCGATATGTATCCTAACAGATGTCTCCTTTTCGAAGGAACATTGGCATAAAATCGAAAGATATATATGGACTTGGTACACCATTTACATTAAATCGGACAAAAATATATATGGCAGCTATATTTAACTCTCAACCGATTTTCACCAATAATAGGGTTTGTTCTTGGGGCAGAAACATTGAAACATTGTATTCTGATCAAGAATGCTCCTTTTTATGTTTCCCGAAAAAAATTAAATTTTTTGCTATTTACAAAAAAAAAACTTAATTGTGCCGATTTGTTTATAAATCCAATGTCCAATTTATTGACGCTCACGCCATTCATAAAGACAAACATCAGTATGTATATGTGTGTATTTATGCCTCATATATCACCAAAATCAACCAACTGGTCGAATAATATTTCACTTCAACATTTTCTGTAGATTAGCTTCTTATCAAATTTAACCAAACAATTCTAAAGTCTAATAAGACCATTGGTGATCGCCACACACCGTCTTTACAAGAGGTCTAAAGATAAATGTTCAACTGATCGTTGATATCAGGCATGAGTGCATATTTTTATAATCTGATAAATTTATATTTGTATAAGTTCGTGGAAATTCTTTACTAATTGATCGTATACCAAACATACGTTTTTATTATTTTTTCTGTGTGTAGTCAAACTCATCATTGTTTAATACCGCACGATATTAATTTTATTTATTTTCAAAATTCTAGTTGAATGAACACAAATCAATGTCAAGTGAATTTTGGAATTCAGTTATAACATTTTGCACACTTGTATGTACCCATGTATATATGAATTTGTCACAAAACATAAATGCGACCGAAAGTTCATAGTCCAAATTTCCACCTGGGCGATTGAAACAGAAACAAAAGCCACAACACGCCGATTTGTATCGGAACAATTGACGATATTTACCTCTTTGTGAGTTACTTCAACGTTTGTATTGTTGGACATTTTTCTGTGTTTTACATTCGTTTGTTTTGTTTAGAAATTATTGAGTTAAATATTATAAATATTTTCTGAAATTATTTTCTAAAAATTTTATTGTTAAACCGCTCAAGCGACGGTATTTTTTCACTGCCTCACGCTAATGCACCGATTGTATTTATATTTCATTTTGTTTACTAATTGACTACTTGATCAATGTTGAGAGAGTGGGTAGCTCGGTGAGATTTTAAAATTTGTTATCTTCCACCACTTCTCTCTCTTTCTCTTTCGTCGGATTTAACAGAAAAGTGAAAATAACTGAGAAGACTAAGAAAATATTCTCTTAAAAAGTTTTCAGAGTAATTAAAAAAAAAAAAAAAACAAAAACAAACAAGTGAAAAAGCGTTAAGTTCGGCCGGGCCGAACTTTGGATACCCTCCGCCATAGTTGTACTGACAGATACCTACAATGATTTATGTAAACCATTATGTACACCAAATACAAACATCAGCAATTTTTAATGGGGATTTTTTTTCTAAAATCTAAAATTTTTTATCACAATATCTTTAGAAGGCAGAATGCTTACAACAGATGGCTAAATAGTCTTTGTAGGGTAAAAATTGACTATTCCCCGTAACGACTACCCAACTGCAACATACGGAACAAATCAGATAACTATTTTAATATAAAAAATCGGGGTTATATGGGGACTACCCCTAAAAAGCGGTGAATATTAAAAATTTTTGGTGGGTAGATTTGTTACCATATACGACTACAAAATACCAAATTTTAGCGAATTCGGTTGAAAAACGCGCTCAAGAACCTCAAAATATCGAAAATTGGGGGTACCCTTATATGGCGGCTACCCGAAAAAATTTACCTATATTTATAATTTTTTGTAAAGAGATTTGCTACCCAATAAGAACTCAAATTACTAAATAACAGCCAATTCTGTGCAAAAATCCGGTCAAAACCCCCAAAAACCGGAAATTGGGAGGTACCCTTAATACCGAAAGTACCAAAAAGCCCCCAAAATACCGCAAAATTGGGGGTACCCTTACATGGGGGCTGTCCGAAAAAATGGACCTATGTTTATAATTTTTAGTGGGGAGATTCGCTACCCAATAAGAACTCAAAGTACCAAATTTCAGCGGTTGAAAAACACGCTCAAGAAATTAAAAAAACCGAAAATGGGGTGTACCCTTATATGGGATCTATGCCTAAACGTGGACCGATATATCCCATCTTCGAACTTGACCTGCCTGCAGACAAAAGACGACTCTTTGGTGCTTTATCTCAATTTGTTTAGACGCTAGAGTGATTACAACAGGCAGACGGACAGAGCTTAGATCGTCTTAGAATTTTACGCTGATCAAGAATATATATACTTTATAGGATCGGAAATGATTATTTCGATGCGTTACAAACGGAAAAACAAAACTAATATACCCTCCATACTATGGTGGAGGGTATTAAAAGGGGGTTATATGGGGACTACCCCAAAAAGGGGGCGAACATTAATACTTTTAGGTAGGGATTTGTTACCATATACGACTACAAAATACCAAAGCAGCAAAATCGGTTGAAAAACGCGCTCAAGAACCCCAAAATACCGAAAATTGACGGACATGGCTATATCGTCATAGAATTTTACGCTGATTATTTCGATGAGTTACAAACGGGAAAACAAAATTAATATACCCTCCATACTGTGGTGGAGGGAATAAAATAAAAAGGGAATTAAGCAGAGATGAATAATTCATTGAAATAGTACTTTTTCAGTACAGATACTGAAAAAAGTACTATTTCATTGATTTAATCCATTCTATTCATTCCGAAGAGCAACGATGTACCCACAGACTATTCTATAAAATATAGGTGTTTTAAACAAAAATTGAGTGCAACCGTTTCCTTCTTTATTGTACCCTCAGCCTTATGGCTAATGAGGGTAGATACACGTTGATACGGTGAACATGTTTTATACAATTTGGACAATTACAAATGTCTGTCTGGCCGGCTTGTGCAAACGAAGGGAGTAACCGATTTCGTCCAAACTTTGCACATCGTCATATTTCTACCAAACATAGTTTAAGGTCGAGGATGGGAAATATCAACCCACTCCTTCTCCCCAAAAAATGGTCAAAATTGTTATAAAAATTCATTTTATGATATCATGTGAACGAACTATGCAATTTGAATCAAACTTTGAACAAGCCTGGATCAACTGCGTAGAAGGAACCAATTGGTCAACTATTTCTCGTACCTCCCCCGCAAAGGTTGAACATTTTCAATATTTTTAAATGTAATAACAGACGTATGAAATGTCCAATATGAACCAAACATTGAACAATCTGTCATCTTAACCAGTCCCAGATCAATTCCGTAGATGCGACGCATTGGTTCACTCCTTTTGGTACCTTCCCCACAAATGGTAAAAATTGCCAATATCTATAAATGCAACATCAGACGAATGGAATGTCCGATTGGTGCTAAACTTTGCATAACATATTATATTAACCAAGCCTAAATAATGTCTCAAGATGGAACTCAGTGGTCCACTCCTTCCAGTACCTACCTCACAAGTGGTCAATATTTTATAAGCTTATAACTTTAATTTGAAACCATTTGAATAACCGACTTGATCAACATTATATCCGAAACCTCTTTGATTAAAACACATATCTTATATAAAACTAATAATAAAATCTGTGTTTAATTTAGAAGACCTCCGCAAACCATAGGCTGGGAGTATATATCTGTCAGCAACACCGACTGACAATTTTTTACTTGTTTTGGTACTTTGAGTTCTTATTGGGTAGCAAATCTACCCCCCCCCCCCCAAAAAAAAAAAAAGTTATAAATATAGGTCAATTTTTACGGACAGCCCCCATATAAGGGTACCCCACAATTTTCGGTATTTTGGTCGCATTTTTCTACGGAATTGGCTGTAGTTTAATACTTTGAGTTGTTATTGGGTACCGAATCTTCCTACTAAAAATTATAAATATAGGTCAAATTTTTCTGGTACCCCCCATATAACGGCACCCCTCAATTTTCGGTATTTTGGAGTTCTTGAGCGCGTTTTTCAACCAAATTCTTTGCAATTTGGTTTTTTGTAGTCGTATATGTCTCGCAAAAATTATTAATATTCGCCCCCTTTTTGGGGCGAACTCCAGTGAGGAGTTATCATGCCCGCCATCAAAAATAAGGGCTTCCCTTTAATTACAAAAAACAACAACAAAACAATTTAAAAAATGTGCACCTTCGGCTGGCCACCAGAACTTAAGTGCCGGTCATGGTGATGGTGTGGGACGCCATGACAGCCGATGGTCGCTCTCTGCTCGTATTAATCGACCGTGGCATCAGTATAAATGCCGAATATTATCGCAAAAATATTCAGGAGGCAATATTCAGGCATTTGTCTGAAATTGATGTATGTGTGTTTTAAACCTTTTTTATATTTCTTAAAAAATGGAAAATAAAAATAGATCCTAGTAGAATATTATTATTGTTTACATATAAAAGCATCAGCGGATTTATACATATTTTTTATTATTCATATTCTTGGATTAACCCCTTCTTGGACTTTTTCCTTTTCTTAAATAGTTGCTTCAATGTTTAAAAACGTTTTCACTATAAAACATCGTTAAAATGCATTTCCAAGTTTTCGAAACGGTTAAATAAAAGTGCAGAGTGCTATTTAATGTGAAACTTCAAGCTAAATGCACTCATAAATTAAAATGCAAACTTTACTTTGTTTCCCTAATGGTTTCAAGAAGAATTATTGCTTTCGAGTGCAAACATTTTTATCGATTATGATACTTTGTAAAAATCGTGCACTCTTGAAACTTGAAAATGCAACATATTCATTATTCATTTCTTTTAACATTATTCCGTTCTAACATAGGTACCACATCTGTAACAAGTAATCAATGGGTTAAGAGGCAATATATGGGAATTTCAAACAAAAAGGAAATTTATACATTGCCAAATAAAAGAAATAATAACAAATATTTCAGTACCGCATCATAGTTAGAGAAAAGTACATTTCATATTATGTTATATATACTAGCATATGCCCGCTACGTCGTTAGCGCTTCTTTTTGTAGTTAAAATAAAAAAAAAAAAACATTAATTTAGCTACACAATACACATTAAGTATAAAATTAAAACATTTCTAATAATGATAGGCCCTATATCTTAAAATTTTTAAGGAAATCTCAGATCTTAATACGCATTTCATTTGAACAGAATCGTTGATGCTTCTATCTTACTTACTTAATCGAGTACAACTTGCTTATATTTGTGCATGTGTAATATTTTCTCGATTCAGTATTTTTAGTATAACCTCGACATAAAGATCCAGCCCCATATTCATTACATCGAAAGTCGATGTAGTATAATATGTTTCCAGTGTAGTTGGAAACATCATTGGAAATTAATATCAGTACTGTTTTTGTAGAAGATTAGAAACATTTGCGTTTAAAAGTGCCAACAATTTAGTACTTGTGGTGTTCAGTTGCTTGTTTGTATAATTTCACCGGAAGTTGAAACCAAAATTCACATAATCATTCGCTGTAGATCCATGTCAATGTGGAAACTAATGTCAGCAATTTTTAGCAAAATTTTTTGAAAAATATTTCCATAAATCAGTTTTTTGCCATAGTCAAAGATAAATACTAAATTTAGTGCTTTTAGTACAAATAAAAAAAAATTAATTTGTTGTAGCTAAATATACATACAAAATTTCAGGACTCTACTCGTTCAGTCGTTAACAATATTTACTTTAGGCACAAATGTCAAACAAAATTGGGAAAAGCATTGTTATACCCTACACAACTATGTTGTCAGGGTATTATAGCTTTGTGCAGCCCCAAAAGTTTGTAACGCCGCGAAATATTGGTCCTAGACCCACCTTTAAGTATACCGATCGTCATATCTCGACTAGATGAGTCGATCAAGACATGTGTGTCCATCCGTCTGTCCATTATAATTTGTAAACACGATACAGGCCACAGTTATGGACC